TTCCTTCCACTTTTCGATATAATTACCAATAGATGTTAATATGATCCCTAAATATTTTATTTTTGATATGATTTGTATATTCCAGATACTGCTCAAAGGACATTTAATCAACTACCAAGTTTGCAAATTTTGTGTTTTGTTTGTTTGTTTCTGATGCAATACCACTGTTTGGTTCGCTCCTGACACGATAAATAAAAGAGCTGCATGAAGGCCAAGCCATCCAATCCAATCCCATCTTGCTCCAACCTAAATCCAAATCCCACCTAGGAATAAAACCCAAATCCTGACCTTGGCATGAAAGCTACAGCTGATGCCACCTTGGCCCACCCAACTCAAACCTGGACCTTCTCTTTGCCACCGAAAGAAGAGAGAGATTTCAAAGAAACGACAGACCACGATGGAGTTTGCAATGCTTCAAAGCAAGATATATTTGTTTCTCGGGTGTACAAGTTGGCACACTTTAATGGAGGAGTCAGAGCTGGGGAGGGTTAGAGAAGGGTGAGAATGCATGCCTAGTCTTCTACATATTGTGAAAGCTACAATGGCAAAAGAAGCTGCAGGAGAAATGGAGACAGCAGGAGAGGAACGCTGCCCGCTTTATCTCCTCCTACACTTCCGGCCTCGGTTGACAATGACCTTGCCTTCGTCGTAGTGGACAGGATAGCCTTGGTCGCAAGCGATGACAATATGGCGGGGCCGGTTGTCATGCGTGTATTTGCAGGGCGGGCGGTTGGAACCACCTCTGAGCTTGCAGGTGGTGACGCGGAAGGAGTCACAGCTCAGGCGCAGGTTCCCGTAGGGCTCCCCTTTATTTCCACACACATCTTTGATGGCCGAATCAGTGGCGTGGATGAAGCTGTTCGTGTTCTTGCAGTTGGGCCTGGTCAACCCTCGTRTCGCCATCAGTTTGTCGCAGTACTTTCCTCCGGTGTTTGCGTTGGAGTTGTCCCGATGCTGGTTCAGGAAGTGGATGTACCTCTGCCTGACGGCAGGAGGTTGCTTGGCCGCATCCATTTGGGTGACCAAAGCTGCCAGGAACACCA